AACTAGATTTTACATGCTCAACACTTACAAGAGACACCAATCTGAAGCACGAATACACAAATCCTAGTACTGTTTCCTCATTTTGTACCTCTCTAAAATTACAAACGCACCGTGGGATCTACAGACTATTGTGAACTCTACCAGAAGCTAACTACAGCCAAAATCTTTGCATTATGTGAGGAGTTTGGTTACAGCCTTCCACTATCTTTCTCTGAAAGAAATGCCTACACACCTGGTGGGGAAAATGTTAGGATTAAAATCCCATGTGTAGACATGGCTGACTTTCACATAGGCCAACCCACACTTTGCTAATGTGATTCTGGTTTACCTCCTAGCATTTATTATGACTCTATGCTGCAGGCATGTTCATTAAGTTGGCCAAGAGTTACAGCGTTAGTTTCTTTTATGCATAATATACTTAACAATGCAATCCTAATTCTGTTTACAAAGTCTGACTGATTTCAGCATGACTTTCATCCGGGTAATTATGCTTAGGATGTCAGCCTCAGCCAATCACTGTCGTCGAAACCAAAGTGCCTCTGCTCCCATATCTTGTGATAATACGTACATGTGTGTATGTGTGCGCACGCATCTGTGAGTTCCTCCTCCTCTAAAATCCTCTGGCTCTATTTTTTCAGGAGTACACACAGTATCTGAGTTACAATAAATAAAATTTACAGGGGGCGGGGAGGGCGATTAAGCTCGTGTCTAACACCTGTACAGTGAAAAGAATTCATGATTTGTCATATCATTCACAGTCTTGTAATAAAGATATGATGGAGAACGCTTGGGTAGAAAAATCTGTGGCCCCTGCCACTCTATACATTATGAAGCCCAAAATAAATAGGATGGATCCAAGTATTTAGAACGGGTGAATAATTATTTTCCTGGTTGCACTCACAGAGCTAAAAACTAAGCTGATGTAAGGAGTAATTACAAATGTACAGCCTCACTAGCATAGCTGAAAGAGCTGCTACTCTGCAAAGAAATCCAGGGGGGTTGCTTTTGCCTTCTGGGTTTGCAATGCCACAGAAACGGTCAGGGAACCCACAGCAAATGGAAAGGGAAGCGAGAAAGGCCATGTTTATAACGTCGCAGTATCAAAAGCACATCCATCTCACCACTGTTTTTCCCCCTACATTATTAACGGAGTAGATCTTTTAAGGCAGAAGAGAGACATTCCGTGGATTTCGGTGCTAATGGCTCATCACGCTCACATGGTTTCAGTGGTCGAGGATGAGGTACTTTTTTTCCTGAAACGAGGTCTAAGGGTCCTAGGCGGTGCCTGTCGAAAACAAAATGCAGCGTTGGTTAGTCTTTCCATTCATTTAGCCACCAGGGATGTGAGTCAATTTGTGCAGGAATTTAGCAAGTGAGGATCTTCAGCTCCAGAACAGGCGTAAGGCTGCCCCGGCCTCCCCGAACGGTCGTGGTCCCTTCCAAGTCTACAGCTCTACGATTCTAATGTTTAGCACCAAAATAATGTCCTCTGCGCTGGTATAAATCCAAGGCATCCCAAAAGATGGGGGGTGGAATACTTTATTGGATCTTGTCAGGCTGATAAACAGAGCTACATCTACATCATCATCATCATCATCATCATTTTATTATTTATACCCCGCCCATCTGGCTGGGTTTCCCCAACCACTCTGGGCAGCTTACAGCACATTAAAAATGGTAAAACATTAGACATTAAAAATATCCCGATACAGCATTGCCTTCAGATGTCTTCTAAAAGTCAGATAGTTGTTTATTTCCTTGACATCTGATGGGAGGGCACCACTACCGAGAAGGCCCTCTGTTGGGTTCCCCGTCACCTCACCTCTCGCAGTGAGAGAACCGCCAGAAGGCCCTCAGAGCTGGATCTCAGTGTCTGGGCTGAACGATGGGGGTGGAGATGCTCCTTCAGATATACTGGGCCAAGGCCGTTTAGGGCTTTAAAGGTCAGCACCAACACTTTGAATTGTGTTCAGAAACATACTGGGAGCCAATGGTAGGTCTTTCAGGACCAGTGTTATATGGTCCTGGTGGCCGCTCCCAGTCACCAGTCTGACTGCCGCATTCTGGATTAGTTGTAGTTTCTGGGTCACCTTCAAAGGTAGGCCCAATGTAAAGCACATTGCAGTAGTCCAAGCAGGAGATAACTAGAGCATGTACCACTTTGGCGAGACAGTCTGTGGACAGGTAGGGTCTCAGCCTGCATACCAGATGGAGCTGGTAGACAGCTGCTCTGGACACAGAATTGACCTGCACCTCCATGGACAGCTGCGAGTCCAGAATGACTCCCAGGCTGCGCACCTGGTCCTTCAGGGGCACAGTTGCTCCATTCAGGACCAGGGAGTCCTCCACACCCGCCCGCCCCCTGTCCCCCAAAAACAGTACTTCTGTCTTGTCAGGATTCAACCTCAATCCGTTAGCCACCATCCATCCTCCAATTGCCTCCAGACACTAACACAGAACATTCAACGCCTTCACTAGTTCTGATTTAAAAGAGAGGTAGAGCTGGGTATCATCCGCATACTGATGAACACCCATTTCAACCCGCCTAATGATCTCTCCCAGCGGCAGAAAGGATGAGAGTGGACTTAACAGCTTGTTGATTATCTAACAAATTTGCTCCTTTCAGCACCATATTGGCAGAGAATCCAACACAGTGAGCCTCAGCCTCATCATACAACATGGCAAGGAACACAGAACTTTTTTCCTATTGCTATTTTGCTTTATTCTCCCCGGTACCTCAGTCCACGTATACAGAACATATCCATGCACTTGATAAATAAGCAGGTGCCTTTGAGTGAAAGCCATAATAAACTAGTTGGGGTTATTGATTTCTCAGGCCAAAGAAATGAAGTTCCTGCCATTGACTGCCTTCGCTTCCTTCCAGAACTGCAATACGT